TCGCCTAAGAATAAAGATATGATTTCATCGCTTGAGAGTAAGGATAGGATTTTATCACCTGATAAGGATGCAATTTCATTGTTTGCAAAGGTTTCAATGTCCAACAATTCGAATTTAGATTCAAACTGATTTGTTTTAATAATAGGTTCAAATTCGCTTGACAATTTTTTTTTTTCAGTTTTTAAATAAATTTCAAAACTTCATACGGGTTTTGTTCACTAAGGAAGGCATATTGCATTGGTTACTACACTAGGAAAGATATATCGCTTCTATTACTATACTAGAGAAAGTATATCGTTTCTATTACTGCACTGAGAAAGTTGTATCGCCTTTGTTACTACACTGAGAAAAACATATTGCCTTTGTTACTACACTAGAGAAGGCATATTGTCTTTGTTATGATAATGGAAAGGCATATCGCCTTTGTTACTACACCGGGGAAGATATGGAGAAAGTATATCATCTTTGTTGCTAGTTAGATTTTCTAAAGATACAGCTTTTGTTTCTTCAAATGGGATAGTTTACTTTAGCAAGAGAAATTTTCAGTATCAATAAAATGCGTACTATTGTTTATATCAAAGTGGGATGGTTTTTTAAATGAAGCATTTTCTTATTAACATGATAAATGAAAAATTGCTTTTATTTATTAGTTCTTTCACGCAAGCTAATTTCAAGACAAAAGTAGTCAACAAGAATAAGTTATACTTTTTTTTGTTATTAAATAAAAAAAAATAACTTTTATAAGCTTAACCTACCTCTTATTTTATACTTAATGCTGGAGATAGTTAACTTTTTTGTCATTTTGGCATTAGTAAAGAAAATGGTAAAGCACACCATCTTCATTATTATTTAAAATCTCCAAATTATAACAAAGTTGTCAACAAACTAGGTTAGCTAACAAGTGTGAGTTATTATTAAATATTTAGTGGTTTAACTTTTATAACGATAAGATTATTCATCTGTAGTTATTTAAATCTAGAGATATTTAACTTAAATATACTACTTTTCTACTAAAAAATTTAGTTCGAAATCATATCTTGTGTTACCAATCACTCAACTAGGGCCATAGAATATTTAAAATTAAGGCAATTTGCCTTATAAGAAAAAAAAAATACCTTACCAGTGGCGAAGAGACCAAAGGCAAAAAGCTATTCTAACATCTACGTCTAGCAAAGCAGGTTCTAGAATTTTTAAAGAGATCAGGTCCAAAAGTCAATCCAGAATCTGAACTCTATATAGCCTCATGTGATTTAAGGATCAAGTCTCTACCAATCCTTTCAAGGATTGATAAGAACCGGTTAGGATCCGATCCCAAAGGACCGATTAACATTTCTATTAATGATACAACATGACCGGTACTATATTTAAGGTTAGTGTTAGAATGTAGCAGAATTAGGAATTATGTCATATATTTGCTATGCCGGTAGCAATTCCTGCTAGAAATTGCATCCTTATCAGGTGATAAAATCCTATCCTTACTCTCAAGCGATGAAATCATATCTTTATTCTTAGGCGA